CAGAAACGCTCATCCATTCAAAAAGGCATACTTATGGTACTTCCATCACAAACGTGTGCTCACGTCCTAATAGCATGTAGAAACTCTCGTTTACGTGTGGCAGCAAAGCATGAGTGGCTAAGAGCCCTCACGTAGTGTGCCAGGGGGTGACAGTCGACCAGAGCCCGATATATGAACTGCCGTTTGCCAATGTTCTGACGCGCCAAAGGCAGCCCAATGTCGTGTGACTGGCGGGTGCGTCTTCTTGTCGTGTCGATGTTTGTGTTGAGTATATTTCCCAATGCTGATGGTTGCCCCGCTGTGCTGATTTTATGAAGAAAGGTTACGTTGTGGCAATGTGCCAGCCATCCCACGTTCAGGGCTGGGTTTTGGTTTATCGCGTCGGAAATATGATCGAACTTCTGGCGACCTGACATTACTCTCGCGCACAAATTAGGATTGACTGGACCTGTTTTTAGGTTTGACCGGTTTGCGCTGTCGCACACAAACATGCAGTAGCGAACTATGGACTTGGGCAAACTGTGCACTATTGTTCCTACATGTTCGCTGGAAAGACTATGCCCTATGTGGGACAGGGCCACAAGCAGCCCTTTGCAACGTCCTTTCATGCTGGCAATATGCGTCGAGAAGGTGAGCGATCGGTCGAAGGTCAATCCAAGGTTAAGTGCCGTGTCGCTGTCCTCAACCACGCTGTCTCCACGTGGCCTGATACGGGCGGCGAGTACTGCATTATTTGCTGGCTGCCGATGACGATAAGCTGGGTTTTGCCGGCACTCAGTGTAAGAGCATGCTGCCCAAGCTTACGACCATTTGCGTATCGTTCGCGTATCGGACATCACGGACACCGCCTTCCACATGTCAACCGAGGAAAAAATTGACTGCAACAACGGGCCGAGGGCGCTGCCCTGGTACACCTCTATTGGATTTTCAAGCGGCCGTGATGTGAGAGGTCTGAAGTGTTTACAGGTGAATGCTTCTTTCTGCCTGTGGCTCTGAGGATGGCCTTCGACCAGTTAGGGTCAACGCCATGAAGAAATAGCTTTGCAAGAACTTTATCACGATTCACCGCAACGAAACATTTGTACAGATCCAGCAGCACAAGCAATGAGGATTCGCGCCATATCCATAGCACGTAGCGCAATATCACTTACGGTCGTCAATGCTGTTTCGGTTGAGTGGTGTTTACGAAATCCGTGTTGTGACTAGGCGAAGAGGTGGCGGGCATCGAAAAAGCTTTACAGTTGCTCGTAAACGACTCGTTGAACTATTTTGGCACAACTGGGCACAATCGAGATCGCTCTAAAGTTGAAAGGTTCAGATAAAAATAATGTCGACTTGCAAATAATTTAACTCAAGACATTTTCCAAGCATCAAGAACTATACCGGTGTTCAGGCCGGCGTTCAAGATGGCGAGAATGACGTGGCAACGTAAGTAAACACAACGTTTTATGGCATACAGAGGGAGACCGGTATCACCACAAGAATTTGAGTTACTCATATTAAGGATAACAGAATGCATGTTCTCAAGCGGCACTGGCTGCACTCTAAATTGCTCAGAACATACTCGGGTTGGAAGTGATGGCAGGTCCGGTGTAGTTGTTTCAGCTCTGGCAGCCATCACAGCAGCCGCTGTTTGACTTCCAATCCGCGCCAAGCACCTGTTCATAATGTTCGGGTCGACCTCTAAAGATGTGTTCGGGCCGCCTCCCTTGCCAGCGATGTTCGGCCGCATACATTTATACAAACTGGTTGGCCCTACCTCTCAGATTTTCCTGCGGATATCCTCACGACCATCGCGACGGATGGCTGATGTTGTCAGTCTACTCAGCTCCCTGTAGCGTTCATTATCGCCCGAGGCCAGTGCAGCACTGCGCTTGGATATGACCTGCTTCGTTGCATCGGTGGCTCGATGTCGTCTAACACGGCAAGAGCGTGGTGCACCAGGTACTCAGTCAGCTGACCCGGATGTCCGCTGGTGAAAACCGGGCTCCAGTCGACCTCGATCAGCCCCAGCTGGATGGCTGTGAGGTCGACCTTGCTTCAACGCCAGCTCCGAACAGAAACGGTCGGTTATCCGCATCAGGGAATGTGCAAAAGAGCGCCAGTTAAGCCGTGAGGACTGGAGTGGCATCGCCCCACTCCCGAGCGGGTGGCGGCTCCAGGCTGGCTGGAGAAGATAGTCTCGGGTGGAGCGAGATGACCGGTAGGTGGCGCCACCGTGCATGGAATGCGTGTCCCCGCAGAAGACCCATCAGACGGCGAGCCGGGGCAGCTCCGTCCGTGTTTCGCAAGTCTCGAGAGTCCACTCGGGCCCCTTTTCGGGGTCACTCAGACACGCCTCCTGGCCGACTTGGGACCACTTGCTGAGACAGGACTGCTGTGAGGCATCACGAGCCGCTGACCGATACTGGGGCCCCTAATTGTGTCAGAGACCCATTCCAGTGAAAATCGCGAGTCCAGGCCTTGTTCCTGCTGGGGAAATGGGTCTACTGGGCTCGGGCTGACATGGAGTTCTTCAGGTCGAGGCACTACGAGTGGGGAGGAGGGTCCGGGTGAAATGGGACCCTTGACTTTTGTTCCTACGACGCCCTTTGGGCTCCCTCAGACACGAATCCTGACCTACTCGGGGCCTCTTGCCGACGTAAGACCCTATGTAAGACACTGTGTCTCCTGACCGACACCATCACTCGAGCTCGCGCTTCGCACACTCAGCGAACTTCCGTGAAGATATCAAGCTGTTCAGTGCATTAACGAGGAACATTATTCACATAGATGAGACAGCAGTATTAGCCTTATTCCTCGGAAAAAACAGGAGAATTGAGATATAGTTAGGTTGATATTTCGGCAACATGCCTTTACCGAAACGATAGCGGAAGTAGACCTCAGTAGACAAACAATAAACTTCAGCTAATGTTTCGATAAAGGCATGTTGCCGAAATAGCAGTCTAATTATAGCTCTGTTCTCCTGGTTTTTCCGAGGAATAAGGCTAATACTACCGTCTTATCTATGTGAAGACTTAAAGGACGATTTCTAACTCCCGTGAATATATGAAGACTAGAATAATACATAAAGATATTACGAATGATTTCTAACTCCCGTGAGTATATGAAGAATGATTTACATCCACATTGGAATCATGAAGCGACGTATATCATGTCTGTTGCCGACCAGTAACACACCATATCAATACAAACCGCTTTATTAAAAACGAGAGGATCACTTCTCAGGGTGCCCAAGTATGGACAACATATGAACCACATAAGTACACGTTTCCAGTTTGCCTCCGGCATATATACACATCCGCACGACCACACGTACATTTACGCGCACAAACAACCAACAGCCACACGGCTATGATAAGTGCGCGTGCACTGACAGGGGCTCACACTCTACAGTAAGGACGTCGAGACGTGACAAACGGGTCACGCCCCGACCGCTGAGCAATGAACGGCACGATGAGGTCGGCAGCAACGGCGCGGCGCGGGAGCCACCGGCCGCAGGGGTGCGGCTGCCAGGCTGCTGCCGTCGACAACGGAACAGCTCTTACGACAAAACAAGGCGGCACGCAATCGTGAATAATAACCGTCTACGCACACGAACCACACGCACATGAGCAAATCGCGCGTGGCGGCCGCCATAGTGAGAGACTGGACCAAGTGAAACACGACATAACGATTCATTTGTCTTAAGTTATCGATAATCAAGGTGCACGTCATGGGCGCTCCTCGGACGAGAACATAGTGATGACCACAGGAAGCCTGCCCTGTGACCTTACGCTCGCCGCACAGACGTCATAGCCTCTAAGTCACACTTACAGACACACCGGCCACCTACGGGCGTGAGGCCGCACTGTCGGCTGTGCAGTGCCGCACAACGAACACGGACACCACGCTGAACACGCGGTGGCGACGGAGAGGCACGCAGTGGGGCGCCGCCGTCCGCTGTATGTCGATAGTAACGCGCCCGCTCGCAGCACGCCGACGCGCTGAGGTTTGATCAGATTTGGGTAGACGCGACGCGAACATCACGGTGTCGAGACCATGTCGTCGATGGTCGGCAAATGATCGTGGAAGAAGTGAGCATGTTTCCAAAGTTGTCGCATTATGCAGCCCATAATGAGTTACGTCGAACGGTCCACGAATGCTAGTGTTGTGCGATCCAATATGAGCGCACAGAACCGCACGGAAAAATGCACAACACCGCGAGGACTCGCGAGTATGCATGGCCCTGGCAGTGTATGCATACCAGACTCGCCATGGAGAGATCGGTGATCGCCTCCGCCACTACCAATGAGCAACACGAAACCAATCCATGAAACAAACGGTTTGAGGCAATCTTCATCAATGAAAGGAACATGACCAAAGCAAACGAAAAAATTTTGCCCTCTTGTTACTTTGAAAACGAATGCACCACAGGCGCCACGACGTCCGCTACGACGTCCGACGATGACGCAGGGGACAAACCGAGCATCTAGATGCGAGCCTTTGACACCCGCCGTTGCGGCTCCTCGAGCGCCCTGTTCGTCACCGTGAGGCCACGCGCGGTTACACTAACAACGCCAGGGTCGGGCAGAGGCCGGCGCGACCCGGAGCGCCGCGTGTCTGTGTGGATGAAGCCGTCCGTGCGGGCGCGCTAAAACGAGATCGGCTGGAAAGTGAGTACGGCGGCCGGCGGCGGGCGCGCGGGCCGCCGCGGCCGGCCGGCCGCCCGCCGCGCGGCGCGCGAGATCGACAGCTGACGCGGCACAAATCGGCTAGATGGCACTAGTGGGCATTGGCAGTGTGCGGGCAGTGATACGTCTTGTACTACACAAACATCACGCACAGGAGTACAGGTATGTACAAAACTGCAAAACTGGAGCGGGGGTCGGAATGGGTCCTGGTCCAAGCCGACCGAGCTAACTACTGGCAGTGGTATCGCTGGTCTCTTCAACCCGACTTACTAGTCGGCGCCCCTGGCGGCGCGCAGCCGAAACTGCGCCGCCTGGGGGCGCCCCCGTTCGGCCGCCCTTCCTTACCCACTACGACATACACGCATCAACATTAGAACAATTTGTACTGGAGACTCGCTGCCGACACGACGAGGAGCTGCCCTGAGCAGTGGCCCGGCGGTCCGGTGGTCCGGTGGTCCGATGGTCCGGTGGTCCGGTGGCCCGTTGGTCCGATGGTCCGGCGGTCCAGTGGTCTAGTGGTCCAATGGTCCAATGATCCGACGGCCCGTTAACCCGGTGGTCCAGTGGTCCAATGGTCCGACGGTCCGGCGACCTGGTGGTCCGATGACCCGGTGGTCCCGTGGTCCGGCGGTCCGGCGGTCCAGCGGCGCAGCAGGCGCGGTAGGAACGTTGGCGGCCGGCGGCCGGCGGCGGCGCGCTACGCCGGCCGGCCCTTGCGCCGGTGGCGCGCCGGCGGCCCGCCCACGGCGTTGGCCACGCGCTGCGCCGCCGCCGCCGGCAGCTGGCAGCACGGCACGTGCCGCGTCGGCCGGAACGCGTGCGCCGGCATCCACTCGTCATCGACTCTGCGGGGCGCGCAGCGGCGTCAACACCAGCACACGGCGACAGGGGACACACGGGTGACAGCAGGGATCGAGACGAAGTGGCGACAAAATACGAACGCGTTTCAATCGGAAAGAGCCCTCAACGCCTCATCCCGAATCCCCCCCCCCCACCAAAAAAACATACTCCAGTAAGACGAAAACCGCAAACTATTAAACTCAACCAACAAACTCGTTTTGCCGCCTTCCTGGACAAAATCTGCAGTGAGGAGCCTTCGTCTGCGTGCCCGGCCCCGCCCGCGGCATCACTCACATGTCCGCCGGCTTCCAGCGCACGAGCAGCTCGGGCTTGTTGTCTGCGCACGTTCTGCGAGCGATCACCTGGGGAGGGAGGCGCCGCGTCACACAACGCCACCTGACCACAGATCTGACCACAGATCAGCAGTCCGGTCTCCGGCTCCGACCACCGGCCCGGCGGCCCCGAACCGCCGGCCTCCAGTGTCGGGCGCCACGGCTGTCGCGGGCGCCAGGACCGGCGTGGTAGGGGCGCGCCAAAACCGAGGATGTGCGTGACCAGCATGACGCGGCATCCGCCAGCGGGGCGTGCTATGAAGAGCTGATGTGGCAAAAGTGCCAAGGCGGACGTCCTTAAACTCAGGGAATATCAGAATTGAGGCCATTTCACGGAACATTAGAATCGAGGCAAGTTCAACGCAAACTGATGAAATCCCTGTCACGCCTATCGTGCCACATGTTCCGCCCATGCCAGCCAACGTGCAACTTAAAAAGGTCAGGGAATTCCTTCAGCGCGAAATACTGACGTCACGCAGGTATGCAGATAAAAGTGGACTAATGCACCAGAGACGTCACGAATTTAGCCACAGGGACTATTACAAAAGAATGCCGACACGTCAGGTTGCTCAGCAATGCTCCCGAACTTTCCGCCGCCGTAACACACACCCCAGACTCGCTTATCATTCGCGCGCCAGGCTTCCTGACCGCAGTATGACCGACTAGCCATCATCACAGCGGATTCCAGTGATTGCCGCTCGATAGCTCAGCTAATCAGGCGGCCAATATGAGCGCGCCTGAGCCACAGGACCGCTTATCGCTGTCCAATACGGCGGCGGGAGCGGGCTTATCGCCGGGCGGCGCTCACCTGAGCTGAGAGCTGGAGGCCGCGGCCCGAGACGGGCGCCAGCCGCTCCAGCGCTCCGTCCACGCGCACCAGCTGGTACCGCAGCCGCTCCATCACGGTCGCGTCGCAGAAGTCGAAGATGCGCGCTGCGGGCACAGGGGCGACGTCAGACGAGCGGCGGGGGCGGCTGGCGGACGAGGAGCCATCGTATCGTCCACCTCCGAGGAAGCGCGCCAATGGGGCCCAATCATACGCTGCCCTCTCGCCACCTCGAACACAGCTGCTGCGTGACCCGATACGACGCAAGGCGAGAGCGGGCTCGACACGAACCGCTCCCCCCGTTGGGCTTCACCCTGGCGCTGCTGGCCGCTCCGGGCCCAGGCCGACTAGTGTCACCCGGCAGTGGTCACACCGGCCGGGGCTCAGAGCCTCAGAGTCCCCCCCCCCCCCACCCCCACCCCGACCACAACAGACGGGCCGCCCGATAAAGCCCCCCGCCAACACCTCAGCGTCAGACACTGTGCACGGGACACCAGGCGTCGAGCCGATCCAGCAGGGTACTGAGGCAAGCCACGGCGGCCGGCGCCTCTGCGCGGGCACAGCCCGTCTTGCGTCCGCCCCAAACCCGGCAGGACACGCGCCGGCCGCCGGTCCTGACGGCGTCACTGCGGGTCACCGCCGGCCTCTCACTTACCCGAGTAGGGGTGCTCCTCCTGGATAGCGCGCCGGCTGCTGCGCCGTGACAACTTGGTCGACGCGTCGGGCCGCTTCACCGGCGGCGTCGGGTTGAAGTGGCCGTTGACGTGCCGCTCCAACACCGACTGCGGGCCGAGGAGGCGTCATCAGCAGGACGGCGGCGGCAGCGGCGGCGGCCGAGCCGCGGCGCCGGACGCCGCCCGGAGCGGACTGACGCGGGCTCGCGGCCACATCATCTTTATAGTGGAGCCACGCACCGTTCGTGCCCGGCTCTCCTTCTACGGTCAGGCGCGAGCCGGCGCCGCACGATGCGTCAGGGAACCGGTGACGGGGCGCTGAGCTCACCGGTGACGCCGGCGCCGGCCGCCTGAGTCAGGCGCGCGCCGCCGCGGGCGTCACCGCCACCCGCAGGCCCTGCGAGCGAGGCTCCTTGCGGCCCGCTTAATCACGGGTCAGCGGGTGCTCCGGCGGAAGACGACACTGACGTCACCGCAGACGCTAGTCCGAGGCGGCTCCGGTCTCCGTGACGGCGGCGGCGCGCCCGCGACGGCGTCACGTCCGCTCCCGGCGGCCGCGATGCTGCACCGTCTGCCGCCGAGCGCGACCTCACACTGCGGCGCGCCGGCCGGCGGCGGCGGCCGTGCATTGCCCCGGCGCGGCCGGCCGCCGGGGCCGTCTGGCGGCCGCCCAGACGCCGTGACGTCACGCCGCCGCCGGCCCGTTGCCAGCCGGAGCTCTGCACGCCGAGTGTGTGAGTGCAGGCCCGGGCGCGGCGGCGCACAGCGGTGCGGCGCCCGCCGCCGCCGGCGCGAACTGCCGCACGAGGCCCGCCGCGGCGCCGCGCGCGCGCGTCGGCGCCGACGGCTCGGCTCGGCTCCCGTGACGCGCGCTCGTAAGCGGATTTGTTCGTGAGGTCGCCGCCGACTCAAAATAGCGACATTCCTTGCGGCTGACCTTTGCATTTTGTTTCGCGTGAAGGCGGCGACGACCGGCCCGGTGTGTGTATGTGGGCGACCGACGGACGTCTCCAGGGGGAGGGGGGGGGGGGGAGGGAGGCGGCTCGACGAGCCCCCGGCGCCGCATACGTGCTGCGCCGCCGCGACTCGTCTCCGCGCGGGACGCGGCGCGTGCGTCGAACGCGGTGCAGCTCTCGGGCAACAAAGCCGTCCGAGCGGCGAGGAGGGGCCGCTCGACATGTGTAATGTGTCGGGCGATGACCGCGCCGTTCCATTTAATTGCGTCTGGGTCCCAGGTGCCCGGCCGGAGCAATAGAGAAGGGTCCCAGCAGAGCCGACATAATCTGCGAAATCATGTGATATCGCGCGCACCTGGCAACGCGAGTCATGACCGTGCGATAACTGCATGCTGGGAACCCAGCTGTCGTGAACGGAAAGGGCTTTGCAATCGAACGACTACGTAGAACGAGCAGGTTTGACTTATGTAACACTTCGCTTAGACGAGCAACCTCCATATTAAAATGTCGGGAGCAAGTTCTTGGCCGTTGGGTTTCCTACTGGCATGAATCCAGCACGAAAGGCTACAATTAGACATTAGCATTCAATTCCACACGTCGACAACAATCTTCCAACAATAGCCGTGCGCGCAAGAGCGATACAAGCTCCTCCTGCAAGCATCCATCACTTCAGCGCCGCACGTGGTCTCACCTGCGAGGAGAACCGCTGCGAGCAGCCGTCGACTATACAGCGGAACGGCTTGCTGCCGCCGTGCGTGAGCACGTGCCGCTCCAGCCAGGCGGCCGAGCCGGGCCGGTCGAACACCTTGCAGCCCTGCCAGAGGCAGCGGCGCGAGGGGCCAGGCGCCGGCGCGCTGCTCCTGCACGTGGCGCGCCTGCAGATGGTCCAGCAGCTGCGTCGGCGAGCTCAGCCGGTCGCCGCAGCCGCGCCAGCGGCAGCAGGTGAGCGCGTCGGCGGCGGCGGGCGCGCGCCGCGCCGGGAAACGCAGCACAGGCGCCTCGCCCGGCGTGCCCGGCTCACTGGCGCGGCCAAGGCCCGAGTCGACGCTGCTCGCCTCGCTGGGGGCGCGGCACAGCGAGCCGTCCGCGCCGGGCCGCTTCTGGGATCGGCCGGCGTCGGCCGGCGGCCAGGCCGGCTCGTCGCCGCGCTGCTCTAGGCCCCAGAGCGGCAGCGGCGGCGAGCCGTGGCTATCACAGTCGGCTGGCGGCAGCGGCACGCCGGCGGGCTCGGCCTCCGCCTCCGCCTCGGCTGGCGCCGGCTTCAGGCCGTGCAGCTGCTTGCGCACCGAGCGGAACGCCAGCGCCGATATGTGCTTGACCTGCTTGCTGAAGTACTCGGTGATCTTCTCCTGGACGCGCGGCCGCGGTTCGGCCGGCTCCGGCCGCAGCCGCTTGGCCAGCCGCTCGCCGGAGCAGGCGCGCCGCCGCTTGGCCGGCCAGGCGGTGGCCACGGCGGCCACCGGCTCGTCGCCCTCGCTGTGACGGCGGCCGCGGCGGCGCGGCGGCGGCGGGTGCCGCGGCGGCCGCGGCCAGCCCGGCGACGGCGGCTGGCTGGGCGGCATGGCCGAGTCGTCGGCGAAGCCGGCGTCGCTGGCCTCCGAGCCGGCCGAGCGCGGTGAGAGCGGCGAGCTCGGACCCAGCGACGTGACGTCGCTCGTGCCGCAACTGCCCGGCGCCAGGATGCCGCTGCGGACGGGACCGGACGTCAGAGCTGGGCACACTCGGACAGGCGCGTACATAGCGACGGACGACGTTCACAAGACGGCTGCGTTCTACGACAAATAAGTGGGCCGTCGCTGATCAACAAAAGACGGCACCGGGTCAACAGAGTACAGAAGCACGTGCTCACGTGGAGACCGGCAGGCCCCGAGCGCGTCACGGCGGCACCGGGCGCTCACCAGTCCCATCTCTCGGCCGTCGGCGACATGTCCACCAGCGCCCACAGTTGCACGCGCGCGTCCCGGTCGCCTGCCAGAAATCGCCGCATGTGTGCGAGCCTCGAGCGGCGGGCGGTCCACTGGCCGCCGGCCGCCGCCGCCGCCGGCTACACCTGAGCGCCCCCCCCCCCCCGCGCGCGCAGCTCCGGACGTCCGATCGGGTGACGTCACGCGCGCGTCATCGAGCCCCGGAGGACGGTCGGTCGGCGGCGGCGGCGGCGCCGCTCGACATTTGGGTCCGGACACGCCGCCGGCGCCGGAGGCCGGCGGTCGACGGCGCGGCACGAGGGGCTTGAATTCCCGCCGCCGATCGATGCCGCGTTTGGAGGCGGCCAGCCGGTCGGGCCATGTGTTCCCTCCCCGTGTTTGTCATGCTGCACGGTTATCGCCGCCCAGGGACCTCCCGGTGGGCCGACGGGGAGGGCCTGGCTGCCGAGGAGGCCGAGCGGGTGATACGGAGCGGGGAGGGGGGGGGGGACGGGTCAGCGGCCCGGGCGGCACTCCGGGGGCCCGGCCACGTCAGACGGGCGCGGCCGCCCAGAGTCCGCCGCGCCGGCCGCCGCTCACCGCAGTCCACGCGCCGTGCACAGCTGACGGACGCGCCAGCTGACAAATCACGCCCGCCTGATGTATGCGGGCGGCGCACGGCAGCCGACTTCTCACGCCCCGCCCCGGCCGCCCGGCGCGGCGGCCCGTGCGACCGGCGGCCTTTAAACACCGCTCCTGTTGCTAACTCATTAATTGCACGCCACGTAAACACCGGGGCAAGACGGAGCCATTAGTCGTGCCGTAACTCAGGGCCGTCTGGGCCGGGTGACGTCACGTCCTGCTGAGGCCGGCGCTCACGCAGAAAAACAGGCCTGGCCGAGAGGGGAGGGGAGCGCGCGCTCACCGGGGGACGGCGCTCCGAGCGGGCGGCCGGCGGGGACGCGGCGCCGCGCCTTTTCACCTGCGCGACGCGCCGGTTAACACGCTTTAGCTGTTACACGGATTAGCGCACGCGGACGCGTCGTTAAATTTGCGACACGATACAAATCAGAGCTTTCAGCGCTGGCACCCGGGTGAGGAGGATGAGGAGAGGGGGAGGGGGGGGGGGGGGGAATCCAGCGACTTTGACTGATGCGCTAACGGGCGGGCCCAGGCAGCGCGAGCTCCAGCCGGCCGCGGCGCCGAGCGCCGGAGCACACGGAGAGCGCGGGCTGGCCGCCGCCGCCGCCGCCGCCGCGGTCAGCAATAATGACAGGGCCGGCGTTGGGCCCGGCCGGCCAGCGGAGGGCGGTCGCGCCGGTCAGACACGGCGTGCTGAGGCGGTCGGGACCCGCGCCTCCAGTACGCGGCTGAGCCACGGGTCACCCACCTGAGGGCGGTCTGGCCTCGCGACGAGCCCTACTCACAGCCGTCACTGAACCCCTTCCACATCCATGCTTAGCTCGGCCCGGCCGCCGTGCCCGGTCCAGTCCCACCAGTCCCAACCTCCCGTATTTCCAAGCCAGCGGGCGCCTCTCGTTCGCTGGTCGCTCGCTCCCGCGTTCCTCCCGCCCCCGGCCTCCCCATAGCCGGCTATCTGCGGCGCTGCTCCCGATCAGCAGAGGTCGCTCCCACCCCCGGGACGCCATTATCGGCCAACGGTAACCTGCGACCGGCGGCCAGGGGCGGGGCGTCGGCCGCGCCGGGCCGCGTGCACGCCGTTTTTACGGCGCGTCCGAGGCGCGGCGCCGGCGACCGGTCCGGTCCGGCTGGCGTGCGCGCCGAAAGCGGGTCGGCCGGCGACGGCGCGCGCACGGCGCCGCTCATCGGCATGCCGGGCGCCGCCGCCACCGGGGGACGCCGCGAGCGCGCCGGGGCAGGTGCGTGCCGCGCGCGCGCGCGCGCGCGCACGGAAGCTCCTCCGGCAGTGCGCGCGCTGCGCCCACGGCGGCGCAGCTCCGGGGGTGGCTGGCGGGTACCGCCGACCGCTGCACTCTCCACGCTGCTTGACCGCTCCACAGCCACCGGCGCGCCGTCCACAGCGCGGTGGACGGCGCTAGTTCGCGGCGCGGCCGCGCGGCGCTGGCGTCGCCGGGCGGGAGGCTGCGGCGCGGGGGGAGCGGCGGGAGGGCGAGCGATGCGCGGAATGTGGACGCCGACGCCGGCCGGGCCAGGGCCGGCGTCCGAGCGCGGTGCGTACGGCGGCGGGGCGCCGATCGATGCCGGCCCGGGGCCGCGCCGCTGCCGGCCGCCCCCGCCGCGCGCGCCTCCGGATATGAGCCATTCGGCGACGCGCAGTGACCGCAGCCGCCGCCGCCGCCCGGGGCAATGGTCAGGCCCGGACAAAGGCGCCGCAGACACCGGCAGACCAAGCCAGGCGCTGCTCGGGCGGCCCCGCCCAGCGCCGGAAGCAGACGCTCCTCTCGGCGGCGTGCCGCGAACCCCGGGCGGCGGCGGCGGCGGCGGCGGCGGCGGCGTCAGCTGGGCGCCGTCCCATTATGCCCGACGAGAGGAGGGGACGGAGGCGCGGGCGACCGGCCGCCGGGGGTCGGGCCCTCTCTCCGCGCCGGCGCACGCCGTCAAAACAAGCGGGCGCCCGGCGCGACCCGGTAAACGCGTCACCGGCCCCGGCCGCCGGCCACACCCGCTCGTCGCCCGGCGCGGCCGGTGGGGCGCCGGCCGTCCCCGAGCCGCCCGCCGCCGTGCAACACGTTGGGACCTAGCAAGATCGATCAAGCCGCTGTCCGGCAAGGCCACGGCCCGCGCGACGACGACGGAGCGTAGACCGAACAAACCGGCGTACTCCAGTCGCCCTGAGTCGGACGCCACTGTAGCCGTGCTCCACGGCCAGCAGGACAAAGGCGCACCTTCCACGTATCACACCGCCGGCCGGCGGTGTGGCCGGCCCCACGAAGGCCGGCCACACGCTTTCTAGGTGATCCAGTCATTACCACACAGATAAAGCTCGGTGACGGCCGCAAATTGCAGCGCTAAAAGAGGCAGCGCTTTCCAGCATTTGTTCATGATATGATTCTGGGAATCACGGCGAATTGATTAGCACTCTCCTCCCGGAATTACGCGAACAGTTTCTGCCGAGGTGAGCGCGGTTGAACCAGCGGCCGGCGCCGGCTGCGGGGAGGCCGAACGGTTGCCGGGCACGCAGCCGCCACCGAAATTGCCAGCTCTCGATGCTAGCCAATAAAACGCTTTAGGGAATCAAACTGACAGAGCGGGGGCGCAAAAAAGAAGATCGATCAGGCACAAAGAGTGAGAGTTGTAACGAGACGTCGACGATACGCGAATTAACAAGATTGACAACCGTGAGAAGCTGGCTCGAAGCGAGCGAACAGGATGTGTAACGCTAAAAATCGAAGTTCTTTCCTGCCTCGTCAGATCCATTATTCGGACTGCCGCATTAATCACATCAACGTATTCCGACAGGCCCCAGTCATCAAACGTCCGACCGCACGCCGCGTTTTTCAGATCCAAACCAGTCGAGTCGCCGGTGCCGGATCCGCACAGATTGCACAAGACCCTACCGGCGCCAGCTCACACGCACACCGGGCCGGCCGGCGCGCCGTCCCCTCCCTCCCACGTGCCGGCGGCCGGGGCGGCGGAGGTCGGCGGCCGGGGGTCGGCGTCCTCTCAGCGCACGCACTCGCGCCACGCACGGCGCCAGTGGGCCGCCGCTCGGGCCGCTGGCCCCTCAAGGCCGGCTGCCGGGGTCGGTGACGCCGGCTGCCGGGACGCGCCGGGAAAGGTGGACACGGCACGGCGGACAGGGAGCAGGGGAGAGCTGCGGGAAACACCAGGGCAGGGTGGACACGGCACGGCGGACAGGGAGAGCTGCGGGAAACACCAGGGCAGGGTGGACACGGCACGGCGGACAGGGAGAGCTGCGGGAAACACCAGGGCAGGGTGGAGACGGCACGGCGGCGGGGAGGAGGCATGACGTGGTCAGGAGCTGCGGGGACACACCAGAAAGAGGTGGGGACGGCACGGCGGCGGGAGGAGGCATGACGTGGTCAGGAGCTGCGGGGACACACTCGGAGGAGGTGGGGATGAGACAGCGGCGGGGAGGAGGCATGACGTGGTCAAGAGCTGCGGGGGACACACCAGAAATAGGTGGGGACGGCGCGGCGGCGGGAGGAGGCATGACGTGGTCAAGAGCTGCGGGGACACACCAGAAGGAGGTGGGGACGGCGCGGCGGCGGGAGGAGACATGACGTGGTCAAGAGCTGCGGGGACACACCAGAAAGAGGTGAGGACGGCGCGGCGGCGGGAGGAGGCATGACGTGGTCAGGAGCTGCGGGGACACACTCGGAGGAGGTGGGGATGAAACAGCGGCGGGGAGGAAGCATGACGTGGTCAGGAGCTGCGGGGACACGCCGGAAGGAGGTGGGGACAGCACTGCGGCGGTTGCAGGGCGGGCGTGACGTGGAGGAATTGCCGCGCACAGCCCCGCAGGTTCCAGGCCTGCCCAATGGGCCGGGGAGGGGTGAGGCGGTATGAGACACGACAGAGATCTCGGGGGTACAAGAGTCGGGGGTCACAACGCCGCCTGCATCGCAAGCAGAAACGAAGCGGCAATGCCGGCGAGAAGATCGGCACGAGATCCGAACAAGTGTTCCGGTCCCAGTGAATTAAACACTTGGTCCACACAAGCCGCCCGAACCGATTTAAGCAACACCAAAAAGCGGTTCACCAAACGGGCGTTGCAAGCGCCATCCCTAACCAGCACGAAAAACCAGCAGCTGTTTTTCTTCGGCGCCCAATTACCACTGATCGCGAGCATGCTTAACATCGAAGCGGCCTGTGACGTCATCATGCCGATGATCCAACCACAGATGAGCCGGTGAGGAGAGAGCGGTCCACCCGCGTCGGCCGCGCCGCACTCGGCACGAGCCCAATCGTTCATGGACGCGGTCGTCACGCAGCGATGACCTCTCCCACTGACATCAAACCAACAAACTGCACATCACGGCATGTGTGGCTTGAAATATGGAGCCGAAGTCACCGTAAAACCGCAGTAAAGTCGGCGCGAATAAAGCCGGCCACACCGAACGACCCGCGGGCAGCTTGCCGCGTTGAAGGTGCTGCTCAAGCGGGCGTCAGCGCAACGCAACGCATATAATTGAAGGCGTAGTTAGGGAGCATTGCAAACAGACAAGTGTACCATTCTAATGCCTCAATATTCAAGTTCATTGCGTGAAAATAGATGGAGACTTCGTCAGCTCCCAGGCAGTATCTACTGCAATTCTCTTATGCACAGCAGGACTGTTCTTTGGGCCCGATCTGATGCTGTTTCAGGGGCGCTCCGTGACGCCGAGTGACGAGTTTCCTTTGCGCTCAATGGCATGGACGGTTCAACAGGAACATTAAGGATCGGCAGATGAGATAAGATGGGAGTGCTATTCTGGAATGGTGTGCACAGCGCGTGTAAAACGGGGATTTTTAGGGAAGTACTTAAATAATTTTAAGAGCAATATAGAGTTAAGAATGTAGTCGGCGGATGGCTTCAACGTCATTTTTGCTTCGTGGCGCCCCACGAAGTGTAGAGCGCGAGAAAACACCTGCCGGCGCGTGAAATAGCTCCATGGAATTGGCAAACCAATGCAAAATCAAAACAACGGTGCTGGTGGCCATAAACTTACCTTCTATCTGGCTGGCAAAGCTTGCACATTAAGTTGAATCTCCACACGGTTGAACACACTCACCTGAAAGACGAGAGAAAACGGTTAGTCACGTGATAAGGCACAGAGCAATGCCAGCGGTGTCATGACATAACACGAACGACCGCAGTGTGATGATGGTAAATCGGAAACACGAAACGGTTCGCCCTAGCTGTTCCTACAGGCAGATTTGACATGACATGTTATTTTGCTCAGATACTATGCCCAGAAATGAATCATTTTACACCTGCTCAATCCATATGTATATCAATGTGCTAAACTGCAAATCAACGGGGTTTTGGAAAGTTCACCCTCAGGAACGGACCGACATCAACAGGGCACGGTGACATTTTTGGAACGTTGAGCGACGCGCGGAACGCACACCCCAGTCCGTACTAACAGCGGCAATGCACATCACGAACACTCACTTCCGCATAACTGGCCGATTATCACGGCTGAAGCGAGTATGACGTGAAACCAGATGCGACAGATACGAGCGTGAAAAGCAGCGGTTGTTTCGGGCGTGTATTCCGGGCCGCTGCACCTCGTGCAGTACGACTGACATTGCAGTTGCGCCGCTGCAAAAGGGGCGGGCATCCTGGCCGGGGCCGCCACGCACAGGCTCAGCACAGGCTCAGCACAGGCTCAGCACAGGCTCAGCACAGGCTCAGCACAGGCTCAGCACAGGCTCAGCCTGACGACCCCAGGGCGCGCGCTGCCACCACACCAAACAACGCTGCTGCTCAACCACGAGCCGAGGGCACGAAGGCCAGGTTGGCGGAGCGCCGCGGGACGATCAGGACGTCCGAGTCAGCGGAGCGCCGCGGGACGGTCAGGACGGCCGAGTCAGCGGAGCGCTGCGGGACGGTCAGGACGGCCCGGTCAGCGGAGCGCCGCGGGACGGTCAAGGACGTCCGGGTCAGCGGAAGCGCCGCGGGACGGTCAGGACGGCCGGGTCAGCGGGCACCGCAGGACGGTCAGGACGGCCGGGTCAGCGGAGCGCTGCGGGACGGTCAGGACGGCCAGGTCAGCGGAGCGCCGCGGGACGGTCAGGACGTCCGGGTCAGCGGAGCGCCGCGGGACGGTCAGGACGGCCGGGTCAGCGGAGCGCCCGCGGGCACGGTCAGGATCGGCCAGGTCAGCGGAGCACCGCGGGACGGTCAGGACGTCCGGGTCAGCGGAGCGCCGCGGGACGGTCAGGACGGCCAGGTCAGCGGAGCGCCGCGGGAACGACCGGCTGGCACCAAGCCGCCCCTGCAACACCAGCGCCTGACAGGGACGCTGCTCGCGTGAGCTGAGGAACAGCTTGCCACTGCCGGAGGATGCGGCTGGCCACTGGTCAACGTCACGCCGGATGCACTCACGCTAAAGCTGTCGCCACGCTGACGTCGACCCGACCCCTGGCGCCGCGGGGTCGTGCGAGTAAGGCACTGGAAAGACTTGCTTGGCACCAACTACGACTAGAGAGGTAGACGCGGTTGAGTTTGATTGCACGCAGACTGGCGGCCGTTCCGCGCTTAAACAAGTACCCGTATCGCCCGAACTGTGCGTGTCGATTTCACTCGGCACTGATGAATGCAAACGGCGCGCCATCTTGGCACACCCCCGACCCCCACTGTACAAAACTAAACTACACGTAGCAAAGTAGAAAAGCCGTCGCCGCCCCCACCCCACCCCACCCCTCACTCCGCCACCTCCCGGACCACTCTGAGCCGGCGCCGCGCGCGGCCGGCGTATATGCGTGCCGGCCACGCGCACGGGCCACGCAGCGGCCGGGGCGGGGGCGAGGCAGGGGGCGGCGACCGCGCGCCGCCCTGTCATCGGTTAGCGACCCTGGCGGCGGCACGTGGGCCCGGCCGGCCTTGCAGCGGCGGCTAGCGGGTCGCGGCCGGTTGCTAGCCGCGCCGCGCCGGCAGGGATGGGTCGGCGCGCCGGGTGGAACGGCCAGTGGAGCGATGAATGGCGACACCACGTGACGGCCGCACCTTACGCTCGGAGGAGGCCGATGAATTGGCGCGTGCAGCCCGGTCTAGCACGATCGGACTGTTTGTTTCGTGCGGGCATTGGGGGCTGGCTATCGCCTGTGATCTCACATGCGATGCGCGCGCGATGCTAAATCACTTGGTGGAAGAGGAGCGGGACTCGACAGGAAGGAAAGTCAGCAGGGAGAGAACCTGACCTTCATGGCTGTCAACTTTTCATGGCAATGACAAGCCATAAGGGGCTGCCGTAGGGGCACAACTGGCACGCTCTCATTCGTGCCTGACTCATTCGTCCAGCGTGTCCTTCCCTCCGGCCAACTGCCAATCAGCAGCAGCGATGCACGACAAACTACCACCACACTCGCGCGGCACATAAACGAAGGCGTCCCAGCGTCGGTACCGATGAGACGGCAGGTTTCACGGCGATCAGCGGCGGCGGCGGCGGCGGCGGCGGCGGCGGGCGCAGTCGGTCCCGCCGGCAGGAAAGCGGCCCCGGGCGCCGGGGGTGTGGCGCCCGCCAGCCGCCGCCCAGCCTGGCAGCGGCGGTCGGACCGAGCCTTTCCGACGCCAGCTCTCCCTGGCGCAACGTGTCGAGAAACGCTGATGCGGCCACAAAGTCGGGTCCGGCATCTTTAGGCGAAGGAAATGCTCAAATTAAGCTTAATGGGAATGGACGCGTCCTCTGCAGCACCTGCCACGCCGCATTCCCCAGCCATCAACCCGGCGTACCGGGAGGCGGCGGAACGCAGACCGCCGTCAGCCGGCCGAGGGAGGGGGGGGGGGGGGGGGGGCTGTCGGCCCGTACCGCGCCGCCCAGCCGGCCGGCCGACTATTTCAGCGGTAAAACAAACAGACGTCAGCGCCGACCGTGGACGCGGGGCATTCCAGCGGCGCTCATGAATGAAGCAGCGTAACCGGGCAGCGGCAGCGGCGACGGCGACCACCGCCCAGCTGACGTCAGTGCCGACCCGGTGTCCACGAATGTGACACCTCCGCCCGCCTGACGTTCGCACCGGCCCGCCCTCTGGCGACGGTCGCCGTGTGACGACAGGAGGGAGCGGGGCGATCGAACGACGTCAGAAACGTCAGGAGGGCGCCAATTCGGTCGTGCAGCGGCACGAGTGGAGGCATTAGCTCCGACGACCAGGAGGCCGCGGGGAGAGCGGTGGCGCGCGCGGTGGCCGCTGACTGACGTCACACCAGACCGTCATGCAGCCCATATTACGTCACTAATCAGTATTGGTGACGCCAAGCGAAAACCGGCCAACGCTTTTTACATTACCGCTGACTGGGGTAGCACCCTAACCCTGCTTACCACTGCCACTTTTCGACCTGTACGAGCCTCACCACACGCCGACCTCCGACCCTTTCGCACGCACCACGAGACACGCGCCAGCCGGCCGCCCGGCAACCGCATGCGCCGACGGCCGTCCCGTCCGTGGGGGTACACCCCCTCCCCCAGCCGCCCGGCAACCGACGACCGACGCTGCCGGCGGCGGCCGGGGCCGCGCGTCACTGACCTGGCGCGGGGGGTGGATGGCCCACTGCCCGAGACGGCCCCACGCGCCGCGGCGCCCGGCCGGCCGCGCCGGGCGGGGGGCACGTGGACTGGGCCGCGCGCCGGTTAGCGCGGGGGAGTCGGCGCGTGGCGCACTCGAGGCCCTCGATGCGGACCACTTCTGACGCAGCAAGGTAGCTGAAGTGCTAATTGGTAGTGACGTACAGACGTCAGCGCAGCACGCTGCACGGTTCGCTGGCCGCTGTAAGTCAACCGCATTACTATGATAGTGCGATATCATGTTACCGGCATGAATATGTTCCATGTTTTTTACGCCCCGTTTAATTCTCCATCACGATCATCGCTGCGACAGCTTCCAATGCGGCCAGCAGCCCCCTCCGCTGACACGTGCGCGCGGCGTCCCCCTGCCGCCACCCCGCCGCCTCGTCATCGCCCGGCCCCGATAATGGTGGGACGGCGGCGAGCGGCAGCCGGCGGTGCGGAGCGGCCCGGCCGGCCGGCCGGCTCTGCTCGGATCGGCGGCTGGCGGCCACCGCCGGCAGCAGCGCCGCAAGCCGACCGTCACGCCGGCGGCCCCAACAAAGACGGCGGCGCGCCTTTGATGACTGCGCGTCCGTCGAGTCGGGTGCGTTTGCCGCCGCTACGCAAAGGCGCGGCGCCGCGCCGCGCGGCGCCGCGCGGAGAAACTGCGGCGCCGGGGCCGGGCCGCTCGCTCTCTCCTGGCGGCGCGGCGGCGCGCTGCTGCCGACGCGGCGGCGCAGCTGAGGCGGCGTCGCGTGCCCCGCGTCAGCTGGTCAGAGCCGCCGCCGCCGCCGCCGCCGACCAGCGAGGCCCGGCCCTGGTCAGCCCGGGACACGCGAGCCGCGCGCGGCCGCCCGAGCACGGGCGGAGGCGAGCGCGCGTCGTGCGCGAAGCCACGCTGGAGCGGGCCGGTACAGGTGGGGCTGGGCGGACCCCGCATCACGCACACCCCAGCTTTGCCAGGCGGGGCGGCGGAGGGCTAACACCTCAAAGTCCCCACAAGCACAGGGAGCCAGCTCGGCCGCCAAGCCTCCTCAGGCTTCGAGGCCGAGCCAGTCCCGGGCCGCGGTCCACGCAGCGGTGAGGTGGACAGGCCGTCGCGACCGGCGGCGGCGCGGCGCGCGGGCCGCGGCCTTGGCCGCACGTCAGCGGCCAGCCGGCCAGGCCAGCCTTGAGCAGGGGACGGCTGTGCGTGCGCAGCGGCCCCGGGCGCCGGCAGCCGCTGCCGGCTGTTTACGGCGGCGGCGCGGCCGACGTCAACAGGCGGCTCTCGCGAGCGGCCGGGCCGAGCCACTACCACCTGGTGCGGCGCCGCCGCCGCCGCCGCCGCCGTAGGGGCCGGCCCGGAGGCCGGCGGCACTCTGTGGTCGGGCAGCAGGTTGGATCGACTTGCGAGGAGGAGGCCACTCCTGAGCAGCGGACGTCGCTCGGGGTGGCGGGCTCAGGGCATCCCTCAAAGCACCCCGGCAGTTGCGGGTCAACACGCGCTGTTCTGGAACGCGAGCTCTAACGTCGATGCCGCTCCAGCACTGGGGACACCGCTCGGCTGAGCCGGTACAAGCCTGCAGCGGTCACACAGCCGGCCCGGGAAGGAAAAACAAGACCAACGGTACAGCTCGGTCCCAGCCTTGAGGCCGACAAGATGACGGTGCGATTGCGTCGTTTGCATTTGATAAGGACACTTTTAGAGCTGAGCTGATGCTAGATCCATACCCGCTCGACACGCCGGCCCGTCATGTGAGCAGAGGGTGACACCAAGCTTTAGAAGCCCGGACTGAGACGCATCACTCCGTCAAAACCATCCTGATAGCAAATGACGGCGATCGCGGCGACGGAGACGTCGGTGTCAGGAGTTCAACATCGGGACGTTCAGGCGTGAAATGCCGAAACGTTTATCTTTTAAGACCGACGTTCGGCTGGCAATCGTCAGCAGCGCTACTGAATTACGAGGTCTCATGAGGAGCCCATCTCGAGACCACTACGCAGCAGTATCAGCACAGCATTTAGACAAACTGGGCAAGTTTGACACAAACTTCCCGTCAGCCGTGGAAACGGGGCTCCATGGGCCGGTCCGCGACCAGGCCACGACAAATAGGCGACAACGGAGCGGTGATAGCCAATGCCGGTGGGCGCTGCTAACCGGGCGCCGGTGGCGGCGCGCAGTGCGCACGTGCAGCCGTGCGCAGCGGCGGGCCCAAACGGCGGGCCGGACTGGCCTTGGCTGCTCAGGTCGGGTGCAAAAACACGTCTTTGTCTGCACCGGCACCAACTATAGAGGGCACCGCGGCCGCGCCGCAGCTCTGCGCCAGAACGCCGCCCGGAGCCGAGCGGCGGCGGGCACGGCTGGCACCGGCCGCTCACCGGGCACGTGCGACGGCGGGTCCGAGCGGGGTCCGGCGCCCGGCGGGACCGTGCGGACCCGAGCCGGCCAGCTGCGCCGGTCTGGCCATCGGCGGCGGCCCGGACGGGACCCGCCCCGCCACACAGCAGCTGGACACGCTCGCCTGGTCGATCCAACAAGGCCGGGCCCCGGCACAACCGCAGCCGCAGGCGGACTACAATGACCGAGCTGACAGGACTGAATGTATTGGCGGCTACCGTGTGAGGCGCCGACTACGAGGCGGAGCTGGGGGACACGCCCCGTGATTTAACTGGATGGCATCGCAGTTCAGGTCAATGGTCAACTTGAAGAATGCGTCGCATCGTATCACAGCGGCTGTATCCGCTCGCTTTGCAAGCGATGCCAATATCCGACAGAACATGACATGTGTACTGACAAAGCCTGATCGACACCGGCATACGCTGTCTGCATTAAACTTGACGTTAAATTACGGTACCCAATTCCGCACGCGGCTACGAAGGGAGGCAGCAGCGCTCCCGCACAGGGCGGATCTTGCCCCCCCCCCCCTCCCCCATAGCTGGGAGCACTTGCTTAACCCATCACAAATGTGTTCTTAATGTATTAGCTTCGCACGTGTGTATATCATAACATTGGGTATCTTTCGTGATGAGCGCGCACCTGTCCGTTACTTCTCTCCCGCCTCTGTCCGCAGGCTCCACGAGTCTCTAGCGGGGACCCCTCTCCCTTAAACGCCCTTCACCTGGAGAGCCAGCCGCCGCCGCTCGCGCCCAACATGGCCGCACGGACCATCTCACGCAGCAGTGGAAGAATGGAGCGCGTTGCAACACCACAACGCACAAAAACTGGTCGCCTGTCAAGGTGGTGGGCTGCGGGGCGGAAACGTCCCGGCGCGGCCCGAGCGGCGCCGTTACAACACCGGCCGAGAGGCGAGGTCGGGCCGACCCCACGCAGAGAGCAGCCCGCACGGCAGACCCTCCCCGCTGGCAGTCCCCGAGACCCGCCCGGCCGGTCGGCAGACCCTCCCCGCCAGCAACCCCAGAGACTCAACCGGCCGGCAGACCCTCCCCGCTGGCAGCCCCCGAGACCCGCCCGGCCAGCCGGCAGACCCTCCCGGCCAGCAGACCCGGAGACCCGCCCGGCCAGCCGGCAGACCCTCCCGGCCAGCCGGCAGACCCTCCCCGCCAGCAGACCCGGAGACCCGCCCGGCCGCCCGGCAGACCCTCCCCGCCAGCAGCCCCCGAGACCCGCCCGGCCGCCCGGCAGACCCTCCCGGCCAGCAGGCCCGGAGACCCGCTCGGCCGGCCGGCAGACCCGGGCCGACTGGGCCTGAGCAGGAGATCAGTGTCCGGGGTACCGAGGTCGACAGGCTGGCGGCGGTTCGACTCGGCACATATCACTGGCGCCGGAGCACGTGGACGCGTTGGCTCCATAACGGTGGCTGCTAGACTGGAACCGCAAACAAATAAACTCGATGAATACACTTCTGGAACCGCTCACATGCCATGCACGGCTGAAGAAGAGTTAGAGTAGCTAACACGCTTGGCAGTCATAACAAGCTGCCAATGTTGATCTCGGAAGATATTCTCTGGGGGCGAATGGTGTCTAGCTCAGCATCCCCCTCATTCGGTCCTTCACGGACATCAGCGTTCCAATGTGTGCGCGGCTGAGCACAATCGGACACCGCGCCCTGGTTGCTGATGTCATACCTAAAGAAGACTCTTCGCGCCCTGCTCGCCGATGTGGTACCTACAGGAGACTCCTCGCGCCTTTCTCACTGATGTGATACCTACAGGAGGCTCCTCGCGCCTTGCTCAAAGACGCAGTACCTATTGGAAGATCCTCGCGCCCAGATGCAGCGTAATTGTCAGCCTGAAGTCACCATAAACTGCGCCTCGTGATATTACTCAACTGGTACTTAACATCTGATGCAACCATGTCAGCACAACTGCAGCTGTATTCAATGCAGGTAAAAATGACCATCTTTTCGCACGTGTCCTTGAAAGCAACACGACATTACCGGAATATGAGCATGTTTGACTCGTTATCTGATTATCTGGGCTTAAGAGCCTGGCATTGCCATAAAAGCATCGGACATTTGTGAGCATTACCCGTATGATTTATCCCCGCTGAAGTGAAAAAATGGATAACAGCAAGGTATATGAAATCCAAATAGTTCTTCGTGTTTTGAGCGCCCACACATTTCAGCCTACTAAAATATGCGCCTGAAAGAAACAAGGATGTCTGTCTCAGCTTACGCCGTGACAAGCTTGAGTAACCTGAATGCTGCAAATGCTGTGACAGTTTATGTTACTATTTGATTGTTCAAACCTAGTCAATCAATATAAGCGGCTTTCGTATTGAGACAGCCAACCGTTTATATGCGTCAGTAGGGGGCACGTGTTCGGGCTTGGCCAGGCTCAGAGCCACCCCCTTTTGAGGCAAGGACTTAGTGGATCAACTCATTTAACAGAAAAATCTGACTTGTAATCGGGACTCGCAGTCTCAAAGAAACGCGTCCTGCGTGAGTCCAGACTCAGGGACAGACCCAAGACGCCAATAGTCGAACTCTGACTCAAATCAAAACTCTTAAATCCTGGACACAACAGCTGATAATTTAAGTTTTAAACTGAAAATAGCAGATATGTAAAACGCCGTGGGGTACAGGAGAAACGAAGATATAGCTTCCTTAAACCAGTACATTCCCTTTGGTTCTTCGAAGGGTAATCATGTTCGGCACAAAAACTCATAATGCCGAAAACCAAGACTTCAATACATTTCTCACTTGTATGGAGGAATTTGTGGACTTGGACTTAATGTCCTGGGACCTAGACACGTCTCTGACTCCCTCTCCATAGACTCGGACTAAGCCCTGGACTAATGAGTTGCGAAAAGATTGGATTTGGACCCGGGCCCGTAAACCATGACAAATAGTGCACTGGGACTCACGAAACGTGAAAAGTTGGACTCGGGACTTACACTCAATACTCAGAGGCGAGTTTGAGCACAGCTGGTGCTGGTGTGAAAATGAGACAGGTACAATGGGACTCCGCCCTAAAACGATGCAATCACTGCCGCCAAGATCTGAGGAGTCGATCGCCCTATCATGTCACGTGGTCAAGGCCCGCGGCCCGCAAGCCCCAACATCCCACATAACAGGCCAACCTGGTACAGCACCGCACCATGAGAGCAAAACGCACGGCCTTCCTTGACCGACGTCTCATTCATTGCTCATTCAAAAGGACGTGGCGTAAACTTACAAGTTTTTCGGTATGCCAACACCATCAGCGGCCGTAGGGGGACATTCCTAGACCCTGATGCAACCACGCGGACAATACGAGCGGGTCGGGGCCAGCTCGCGTTCAGGTCGGTGTCGGTAACGTACGTTCGCGGTGAATACATTGACGCCAGCTGCAGAGGGGGTGCACATTGTGCACGATCTCGCACAGGCCGTGCATCAGGGCAAAAGGCGCGCCAGCGAGAGCAATACGCTGGCACAGGCTCAGCACGCTGACGCCGAACACGCTACTTTTTCCACTTTTTAATGAGCCCCCAGAGCGACAATTGTCTGCAGCGACAGCGGTGGTGACATGGGAACCGACAGGCCATGGCTCGCTTCCCCCACTTTTCGAGAATGTTTATAATCAACCCATGGTAATGCCTGGAACGCATTTAATTGCTTTCTCTGCCAGGCACATGCCATAATAATCCTTAGGAGGATATTATTTTTTTTTCGAACTCCTACGAATATGGACTGCATCTCTGCACAATCGCTCAGTACCTGCTGTAAAACGCTTGGCTTAGGGGAGGGGGCGTAGTACCTCCCCGTCTTGACTAAGTTCCTGTTCCTCACGCATAGGTACTTTCCTAGGACGCTCCCATGGCCCTGGCTATACCAGCCGCCAGTGCAGCTAACTCAGCCACTGTCACAGACTGTCGGGTGCGTCAAAGCGGGCACCTCTACATGTCAAGCAAAAACGTGGCAGACACACGCACACATAAAGCGTCTGCCTGTCTCCAAGACGGCGTGGCGGTGGACAGCAGGTCTCATCGGTAGCCGGAGCTAGCAGACCTGTCGCCACGCTGGTGACATCCGTGTCTCCCGGGTCGCCGCGGCTCGCCCCGTTCCCAGCCCTGCGCGCGGCCCCGTCAGGGACAGACCGCGCCGCGCCGGGCGGCGCCTGTACGCGGCCGAGCGTCGGCGGTGACACTCGACTCCCGGCCCGGCCCGGAGGGCACCGGGTCGGGTCGGCTGACCCCGAGGCGGCCCCGAGCCGGCGCCGGGGGGCCGCCGGGCCGGCTCCAGCTGACCGGCGGGGCCAGGGCGGGGCAGCGTTTCGGACAGACGGTGAGATGTCCCACCACGCATGGCCAACCCCCATCGTCCACGCTGTTCGACCACTTCTGGTACATCGGCACCGCCTCACAAACACAACCGCTGCAGCTCACTGTCGGAGGCACACTCAGTGTTTCTGTTTCGGTGGTTATCCACAGTCGAAGCGGGCACCCCAGTGGCGTGATCACTCCTCTGCATGTGACCGGACGCAGGGCGCTGGGCCGGCCGCCCCACAAAATGGCCCCGGCGCTGTCCGCCGCACACCCGCGGCGCCGGCCCGACCGCCGCGTCCCGACCGCGAGCGGGCCGCGGCAAAGCATGGGGAGACGCGCCGCCCGCCACCAAACG